ACGGATGATTAAAAAAGAGAGCTTGACTCCGTACGTACTTGCGTGCCTGCCGGATCCCTGCGCAAGGACGGATAATGGCGTTGCGTGTCTCTGCACTGACGCAGACGGAGCATAAATCAGGCTTTAGGCTCCCTTTTAAGTTGACCAAACCACCTCAATTGGCTTTTTTCAATGAGAAGGAGCAGCAACTCTAAGCTCCTCCTCCAATCCCAGAGGGTGAGTCCAGGGGTGCCCCTAGAAAAATTTCCTGAGGGGGGGCAGATGAGGCCAGAGAACATTTTGGGGTGGCATCCCAGTTTTGCCTGTGGTTGTATATGATCCTTGATTAATTTTCATTGAGAAACACATTTACCTCAGATTTGAGAGACAATGACCATTATGACATTCATTTATTCAAATACAATGTAAACATTTATCCTTTTTTTTCCATTTTAGAAGAGTTTAATGCATGTTGCTGCCTTCACAAAAACTTTGTAGATTTATACTGTTGGTTTGAAAATGAGCAGCTGCATGTATGTTTAATTATGATTTATGTTGTACTCATTAATTATTTATATATTTGTAGGGTTTTACATTCATGTCTGAACAAATAGGATGAATTAATGGTTTATGCAAACATGAATATAATTTATTACAGATGTGGCTGACTAAAAAAATAATTGTTCTGATTATGAACGGCCACACTGAGTTTTTGAAGCAGGCTGCTACACCTATCTCCTACATTAGCTTCTGATAGAAAATAGACTGTGAAACTCAAGGATTTGAAAAGCCTGACAGATCTACGTCACACTGTGAATTGGACTCACCCATCTTGAAGGCTGGGAAGGCTGTTGTTGTTTTAGCGTCCAGAATCAGCAGAGCCTTTCTTTCAACAGAAGCTAACTGCTAGCATTAGCAACTCACGTGGCAGAAGCTCCTCCAGGCTTGTGTTATTTGTGGAAATAAAACACTCATTTGCTCGAGCAAACGGTTAGTGATAGAGTCGTGTTCCTTTTATCTAATCTGAGGCAAGGTGTCTAAATATCAGGAAATAAGACTGCAAAACCTCCCGTTTGAAGCACAGCTCTGATGTCACAGACCGGACCTGCTGAGCCAGGGGTCAGTGGGCCAGAGGTGTGGACTCGAGTCACATGACTTGGACTCGAGTCAGACTTGAGTCATTATTTTAATGACTTCTGGCTTGACTTGATAAAATATATAAAGACTTACGACTTGACTCGGACTTGAACGCCAATGACTTGTGACTTGCATCTGTAGGCTTGATGAAGACTTGAGCATATTTGATATTTTAGCACAAAAGTGGTACGACATGGACAAAAATCATAAATCATTCTTCGTTCTGGGTTTGATTTACCGTTAAATGCAGCAGCACTTTGTTTATGATCAGGTTCAGTTGCACTTTCTGCTTGTTTGAGCAAATAAATGAAGTTTTAAGGAGCTTTATTTCTGGAATTTATTATCATTGTCATTAAATTGAAGTTGGACAGATGACTTGATTATGACTTGAAAATTCAAAGTTATAGACTTGGACTTGACTTGGACTTCCACATCATTTACTTTGGACTCAACTTGGACTTGGTAGTCTTTGACTTGGACTTGACTTGAGACTTGACTGGAAAGACTTGCAACTTACTTGTGACTTGCAAAGAAGTGACTTGGTCGCACCTCTGCTGTGGGCTTTTTTATGCCCTGAGTTCCACCTGCAAGGCATTAATTCCTACTAGAGACCACTGCAAATGTATTGATTAAACACCTTTAAAATTAGGGGTCTTTACTGGGAGGACCATTAGGATTGCCAGCAACTTTCTTTGGGTGGCCAAGTGTTAAGTGGGTGAGTACAGTACTCTCTGTGCCTTCCTTCCGTCTCAGCATCATGGGGAGTAGAGCCTTCAGCTCCGCCGCTCCCAAACTCTGGAACTCCCTTCCCCCTCTCATCAAGAACATTAACTCATTCACAGAATTCAAAAAACAACTCAAAACTCACCTCTTCATAACCACATATCAACTTTGAATTTTAGAGTGCCTTGTTTGTTGATGTTTACGTATGTTTACTTATTGAATGACTTGTGTTTTTATTCTGTACAGTGTCCTTGAGTGACCAGAAATGCGCTTTTAAATAAAATGCATTATTATTATTACAGCCACTTTGTTGAGGAAGCTAGTTTCTTCTTCGTTTGGTTCCTCAACTCACAACAGTAGTCGATTAATTGAATATAGAGTGACTGAAAACTCACTGGTGTTTGTTCTGTGCTGCCTATCAACAGACAGAGCTGGCAGTCTAACCTTTTCTGCTTAAGGATCATGGCGTCAGACTTTACGTAGCAGATCCTCATTCCATCCTGGCTCATTGAGGGTAAGGGGACTCCGAATATTTGGTTTGATTTAAATTTTTGTGAAACGTTTGAAATAGAATCATCTCCAAGCGGACGCTCTCCAGAACATAAATGACCTCAACTTAGGAATCAGAAGTAAACCTGCAGTCCAGGAGGGAAATGTGGCATCGATTTGTGAAAGAATTGCTGAATCTTTGTCAGTAATGGCTTTGTGTGTCTAATTTACCCGGATGTTAATTCACATAAAAATCATCACTGCAGCATTTTGAATCCACCGGCGTCACAGTAATAATGAGAATCATCCTTGAAGTAGCAAAAGCAGCATTATCTTTAAATCTGAGTAAATCCACCTTCAAGAAGAAACAAAGAGCAGAAACAGAATCGTTTTGTACACCTGTAGGTTTTAGCAGAATGAATATAAACTTTTATTTATCCCCGTCTGGTTTACCGTATCAACAAATTAATTCCCTAAATGACTGGATTAGAAACTGTTTGGCTCACTGGCAGCGTGACATACAGGATGTCTGCCCTTGGCTTTTTAAATGAGAAAAGACTCTTTTCAGTGTGTTGAATCCAGCCGAGTCAACTCGCTAAAACACTGTGACTCATTCACAGGTTTGCAGCTCGCAGTTAGCAGAGCTGGAAGATTTGATTGTTTCTGGCTTTATGCCACAAACAATTAAAGGTATTTGGTTTTTATATATATATATTTGCAGTGGCCTCTAGTAGGAATGAACGCCTGGTAAGTCGTTCTCTGGGGAAAAAGAAGAAGCTCCGGCGCACCTGTTTGAGGACGTAGAAGTCAGTCGGAAGAGAAAGTAGATTCTGGCCCAATCCCAACACTCGCACTGCACCCTATGGTCTTCTGCGAAGTGCACTTGGAGGAAGTGTGCACTAACACTTCAAGTGCGTCGTACACAAGTGTGGAAATAATTGCTGAATTGGGACAGGAAGCATTGCGTCATCGGCCGCAGCACATGCTGAGATGCTGGTCGCTGTGATACTTAAAAAAAATCTTTATTAACAACTTTCAAACAAACAACCAGACAACATTTCCATTCACTGCTGTCCACATTAAATCTTTGTCTAAAACATTCAGAGCATGAATAAATATCATTACTACTTTAATTTGAAAATATGTGTTTTCAGAAAAGGCACTTTGTTCCGCCTTCTCAAAATTCCCACCCAGTAATGGATTGTGGGAAATAACCTTCGTCGAAGTCCACGTCAGTACAGACTTGGGCAAAGTGTGGATCAAGGGTGCAAAAGAGATGTGGTCAGTTTTCACATTTGAGTATCGGAACACCCTGGAATGGAACGTGCAATGGTCGAAGTGAGTATTGGGATCGGGTCTCAGGCGGCACGAGTCTTATTTCCTGTTATTTGAACATCTCGCCTTTGATTGGCTAACATCAATGTGACTCTACCATTGACTCTGTTTTCTTTGCAACAGTTGACATTTATCTCCACAAATAACTCAAGCCTGAAGGAGTTCTGCTGTGTGGCGGAGTTACTAAAGCTTGGTTTATGCTTGACGCATTTACTTTCCGCTTGGTGATGAGGCTTGCAGATGGATCGCGCTTCACAACTCGCAGCGTTTGTGGGTCGTGCGGCTCGTCTCTGCGGTGAGCCAATATTCTCCCAACCTGTAGGGGGCAGCATGGAGCTCTACAGCATGCATCCAACACTACACCGTAGTAGAAGTAAAAATTACTGTTGTTTACAACATGGCATTCCAGCATTTTTAACAGCGTCCTCGTGTTTTCCGACAGTGCGAGTTATTTTTCTCCAAGAATTATTAACAACATGTTGATCACGGTGATCTCTGAGAGCTGAATCATACAAATGTCTGTATTTACGAACCTCTGCCATACTAGTTCTTGCCGGTCTGCTATGTTTTTCTGCGTCCGACCGTCCGCGTGGTTAGAAATTTTCCTGGGTGCGCGTTGCGGAAATTTTGGGCTGTGCGGAGACGCGGTGGAGGGGCGTGGTTGTTAAAATGACGCAATTTCGCCGCGCGGAGCCGTGCGGACCTCGCGGACGCGTCAAGCATAAACCAACCTTGATGCAGTTAGCTTCTACTGGCCAAGACATTCTCTGTTGTTTCCTGGATGCTAAAATGACAACAGCCTTCCCCGCTGTGAGTCAAGATGGGTGAGCCCACGAATGTTAAACGACAGAGGGACGCAGATCTGTCAGGTTTTTCTAATCCTAGAGTTTCTCTGTCAATTTTCTATCAGAAGCTAATGCAGGAGATAGGTGTAGGAGACTATAATCATGTTTAGCCTGCATGAAAAACTCAAAGTGACCCATTATAATCAGAAAAAAAATTCTGCGAAGTTTACTTTTACAGGTATGCAAAAATATTTTTATACTAATATAAAGAGAAAAAAGGTTTCTACTACTTCAAGAATAATGAACATTAAATGAATGAAAGCAGAAGTTTTTTTTACTATAGGATGAAAGATCAAGTAGAAGGAAACATTTTGCATGTCTCTGGCGCCCTCTGGTGTCAGTACAGTGGTCCAAACTTTCCAATTAGAGTTGGCTGTCAACTACAAAAATATAGATAAAAATAGATAAAAGCCATTATTGATCAAAACCACCAAACTTTATTTTGGCTGATAGCACCATATGGAGGCAGGAGTTATGTGTTCTTGCAAGCAAGATCTACATATAAAGTCAGAGGTCATGAGAGAATAAAGAATTGAGTTTTTTTTTGTTCGTTTCTGAGAAATCGTCAAACAGCACACCACTGCCCAGAGCAATAGCACGCTCATCAGCTGACTGCTTTCTTGAAGGTGCCTCCTGTGATATTTGGAACGGCATATGACCAGACTGAGCGGTCTTTCATAAACACAAATCACAACAAGACTCTATAGGAGGACATTTAGCAGAGAGACTTACATTGTTATTAAACACAAACATTGGATATGATTTGGCTTTATTTGCACAAAGGTAAAAAACTGTTTGTGTGTAGTTTTGTTGAAAGAGCACACTAATATAATTTCTTCTCATTTTTGTTTTCTACCAATTTTTCATTCAGTAATGAAAAAAAGTTTAGAAAAGTGAATATCACTTATATTTTATTTGATGTGAGATTTTAAGTACATATTTATTTTGGCTAACAAACTTCAGTTCAATATCTGCAGTCTGGGGATGTTTGGTTGCTTGAGTCCGTGGTAAGCTTGGGGGCCTTGCAGCATGTGACCGACGAGGGAAGGAGACGTGTGTGTGTGTGTGTGTGTGTGTGGAGGGGGGGCTGTGGAATTTAAGCTGAGTATTAAGCTCCCCTTTCCCACTCAGAGAAATCCTGTTATTTTCCCAGCGACTGCTCATCAGCCCCCTTCTGCTGCAATGTGGTTTATAAAAATCACAGTTTTCCTCTTATTTTTGGTCCTGACCAAGCAACAGTTCCCCCGGCTTTGCACAACCAGAGAAGCCCTGCTGACCAAGGAGTGCTGCCCGCTTTGGGAAGGAGATGGCTCAGCCTGCGGGGCCAGGTCGGGCAGGGGCTCCTGTGAGGATGCGGCAGTCTCCGACCAACCGGATGGACCCCAGTACCCCTTCTCTGGGTTGGACGATCGTGAGAAATGGCCCTTGGTCTTCTACAACCGGACTTGTCAGTGTGCTGGCAACTTTATGGGCTTCAACTGTGCTGACTGCAAGTTTGGCTACTTTGGTGAGAACTGCAACGAAAGAAGAGAAACTCTGAGGAGGAACATCCATCACCTGACCAGGTCTGAGAGGAACAGGTTGGTGTCTTACCTGAACTTGGCCAAGCAGACAGTCAGCAGGGACTACGTGGTAGCTACGGGGACCTACAGGGAGATGGGGAACGGCTCCAGCCCCATGTTTGCTGATGTGTCCGTGTACGATGTGTTTGTGTGGATGCATTACTACGTGTCGCGGAATGCGCTGCTAGGTGGACCGGGTAATGTATGGCCTGATGTGGACTTTGGCCACTGGGCGCCAGCGTTTTCCCCATGGCACCGGGTTTACCTACTGCACTGGGAACATGAGATCAGGAAGTTGACTGGAGACACCAGTTTCTCCATCCCTTACTGGGACTGGAGAGATGCTCAGGGCTGTGACGTGTGCACGGATGATCTGATGGGGGCCCGGAGCCGCCAGGACCCCTCTCTCATTAGCCCCGGCTCTGTCTTCTCTTCTTGGAAAGTAAGTAAACAAAAAATAAAACTTTATTTTATTAAATCCCCTTTAATTTAGTTTTACAGTAAATATACTTTTTAAGGGGGAATATTATGATTTTTTTCTTAAAGCTGCAATAAAAAATTTGGAAAACAAATGAACTTCAAACATTTTTTCCTTGTCACTTAACAGCATTTTAACACAGTGTAGCTATAAAAGTGTTGTGGAGATAAAGAAATTCTGTGAACATTTAACAGTTCCCTGGGTTCAGCAACAGAACATCACTGGTGTGAGAGGTTCTCCGTTCAATAACATCCGAAGAGAAACAGCCGGCTGCTACCACTTCAACTTTAGGACAAACTACCAAAAAGTCCCAAAAAGAAAAACACCATTTGAAGTCACGGACAAGAAAAGATATTTAGACCTGGAAAACTGCAACTGGTGTTTTGTGTTATCTCGTTTCCTCTGGCATCACAGGTTCCAGCAGAAGTGTCTTTGGGAAAATACACGAGGGGAGGAGTGGAGTGTTCTGTAGCCGTGTTTGCATTAGAAAACCTAGCTTGTTCTGTAGATTTGCTATAACAGCTTTAAGTGCTATGGCTGATACAAAACATGTTTGTAAAGTTCTTTGCTCAAAATCCTTTTCACACTAAGCTATTTCAGCAGTTTTATTCTAGACAGTTTCAGTACCTTCCTGAATGAGGCATTTCAGGGCAGCATCTTTAAGTAAACGAGCTGGATTTGGCCATGCCTACCCTTCTCCCGCTCAGACTGCTATAAGCTGAGAAGCTCTGACATCAGGGAGGGGCTCCGAGTAGAGCCACTGCTCTTGTGGCAGTTGTTTTTCATATGAGAAGTGTTTCTTTTCTACTCTCTCGGTGTGTGATGTAACAAATGGGCACTTTTTCAAATGCCTTGTTTTACGCACATCATTGTTAATACTAAACACTGACAGTCAAATGGCTGGATGAGTTTTTCCACATTTGGAGTGATTATAGAGGCAGTAGAGAGTGAGACCCACATGGCAGCACAAAAGGATGTAAAAGGGGAATTTTGCACTATATGTCCCCTTTAAATAGATCCTTTGGAGGAAAATGTGTACTTTTCCTGCACGTTCAGATAAATAGAATCCTTAACACAGAATGTATGCTGCTAAAACCATAAGTTAACGCATCCAGTCCACATCCTGTGGGCCTTTTCTTCAAATGTAAAGAATAAATTATTAAAACATGTTTAGAGAACAAAATACCTGTGGAGTTTGCAAACAAAATCAAACATTTTAGAGAATTCTGTGAACGTTTAACAAGAGAACAGCTTTAGAGTTATTTTCCCTGGTCTGTGAGCAGGTGGTGTATAATTATTAGTTTAACAGAATCCTTCATCAACTTCTTCCCCCACAAAGTGAAAAGAAATAGAAATTAAACTAAAAAAAATATCAACAGCTCCCTTTGCTCCGGTTAATGTTTCTGAATTCTGATATAAATGACGACATTTATAAATTTCATCATGAAATCATCTAAACTTTGCTCAGTGTAATATACAAGTATTTGAATAAAGCATAAAAATATGCAAATGTAAATACGCTTTTGTCTGCTTTTCCAGGGAACATTTGAACAACCTAATGACGAAGAACTGGTATTTACTCCGTTCATTGAATTTTTGATGAAACCTTTATGCTCCATCCTGTGTGACTGCAGGTCCTGTGCTCCCAGGCAGAGGTCTACAACACTAGGGGGGTTCTGTGTGATGCCAGCGAAGAGGGCCCGATACGCCGTAACCCTGGAAACCACGATCAGAATCTGGTGGAAAGATTACCAACATCCGCTGAGGTTGAGTTCACTCTCAGTCTCCCTAATTATGACACTGGAGCAATGGACCGCACCGCCAACATGAGCTTCAGGAACACCTTGGAAGGTGGGAGAAACTTGGGATTCACCACAATTGTTCCGTCTCGGTTGTGGTCCCGTCTTCGAATTGAGCTGGACTCAATGCATGTATGAAATCCGATGAATAAAGAAAAACATTGCAAGGATTTTTCCTCAGGTGGTTTCATCCGCACATTTATCTGATCCAGGCATCTCACATGATATCTAAATGATATCTAAAGACTCCCATGTGACCTTGGCCCCAGCTGCCCACATGATGTTGGAGGCACCCATGTGACCCTAACATGAATGCTGCTGACCCCGTAGAAAGCTCCAGCTGCCCTCAGAGTCAGTGAGATTCAGAGAAAACCTCTCTCAAAACTCTTGAAAAACCAAAACTTGCCACCTAAAAACAAATTCTGAATGTCCCGTAAAATAACATTTTCAGCTCAGGAAAAACAACAAATTAAAGAAATTGTCAATTAAATATCAATTCCCTGTAACTCACTGGTCTTCCTACAGGTTTCGGGGACCCTCGGACCGGGTTGGGCAGCAGTTCTCGTTTGGGTATGCATGCTGCTCTGCACGTGTTCATGAATGGATCCATGTCGTCAGTGCAGGGTTCTGCAAATGACCCCATATTTATTCTCCACCATGCTTTTGTGGACAGGTGAGTAATACAAAAGGACATTTTGGAAGCAGATCCATATTTAACCATTTGCTCTCAGTAGTGGTAATGTATTCTTTACAACAGCATTTATGAACAGTGGCTCAGGAGACACAGACCGGCTCCCTCCCAGTATCCAGAGTCGAACGCTCCAATAGGGCACAACGGTGATTACCACATGGCACCGTTCCTGCCACTCCACAGGAACAAAGAGTATTTTATTTCCAGCAAAGAGCTCGGATACGAGTACTCTTACTTGCTAAATGCCAGTAAGTAACCTTCAGGGACAAAACTGTCTTAAAGAAATTAATTATTTCTATCATCTTCACTGGTTTGTTCTACTGCTGAATGAATAATTCAGACTGTTGAGGTGGGTTTCTGTGTTATGAGAATTTAATATCTTGTTCATGTTTGAATGACCTCAGATGGAAGAAACTGAGATTAGTTTTGATTAGGTAAACAAGTTAAAGGCTAGTCACACAGAGCCAGCTTCAAAGCGGATTTCTGCCTTGTGAGTCATTTTCTGGGAAAATAAAGCTCTGGCGCTCCTGTTTCAGGAAGTAGGAGTCCGTCTGAGAAGTAAGGGGTGGAAAACGGCAAGATTTGGAGTCTTACTCGTTAATATTCATGATATGCAAAAGTCTACTCTTCCGCTGCCCCTGTATGCTTTTCTCTCAAGGGTAGAAAATGCAACGTTGATGTTTTATCTCAAACCGCAAATAACCTGAATGTGTTCCGCCATGTGGTGAAGTAGCTAATGCTACTGGTTAGCTTGTTCTCCCCAGTTGCTAATTCAAGGGAGCCTTCAGTGGTCGCAAGCCACGTGCTTGAATACAAATTTCAGCGTGATGTTGAGTTTTGTTGGTGATCTGAACGTTTTTGCATCTGTCTTCTTTCTGCGGCTAACACAGGAAACGGGTAGAAGACCAACTTCACGTTCACTCAAGCAAGAACACGTTTCTCTGTGAATCGCTGCTTTAATCTTTCAAATTCAAATTCAGAGATACTTTATTAATCCCAGAGGGAAATTAGTTTCAGTACACACAATTCAGAGATCAGACATACATGGGCAAGACACATGACAAGAATTGGCGACTGCGCTCATTAGCAACCCTGAGTCGCGCTACCTTAATAGAGATCAGAGGGTTACATGAGGATTGGTTCAGGTGGAGGGGGGAAAAAAGGCACTTCAGAGTTACCCTCCACCAGGAGGGCAGCTTTGCTCTGCAAAAAAAAAAAAAATAAACACCTCAGACAGATATGCAACAGACTTCAGACAACACACAACATAAGTGTCCACTAGGTGGGGTGGTGGGTTTGGGACTATCAACACTTCATTTCCTGCAGCCACTACAAGCAGCGCATGTCACCTCAGCCTGAACAGGGGGAGGAGCATTGAGGGTTGGAAGGTTGCAGTGACCCTGGAACGATTTGACGGCCTTCCCACAGTCCCGCCCAGGCTGGGATAGGAGACAAAGTTGAGTTGCCATGGCGACGGCACATTCCACATATCTTCTGAGGGGGGAGTTTTCGTTGGAGCCTCGCATGAATGAATGAATCTCGGCCAACGTTCCAAGCTTACGATTCATCTCCACAATTATGTGAGTCTGTTAATTCACAGCGTGGTGCAAACCATCTCTGAGCTCTGGGAGCAGGCCAATATTCCTCGACAGCTTGTTAATTTTCCGGTAAGCCAGGAAGCCTCCAAGGCCAATGAGCAGGAAACCTGACACCAACACCACGGATATCCACACGTCTTCAGAGTCCTCCACAGACAGCTGAGATGAACAAATCAAGTTCCACTGTTTCCAGGAGTCCATGATGTGTCCAACTGGGTCTGTCCTGGAGGGGCATCCGGGAGTCCCTTCTCCCATTCTCGTTGAAGAAATGTTATCAATCGCGTTGAGTGACCAACTGACGAGGTCCATTTTAGTGATTTCAGTTTCCAGAAAAAATGCAGAAGCAGCCCTGCACCTAGCACACAGAGACAGACAAAGGACCTTGAGGATAAGATATGGACGAGAGGAGGAAAAAAACGTCTGCACCCTCCGAGAGCCGGAAGAAGAAACTAAACCACAGGAGTTTATGCATACATAAATAATAAACCAAACTTATATAGCGCTTTTTAGGACACTCAAAGATGCTTTCATGCACTCTCACAGTCACACACTGCTAGTGATGGTAAGCTACAGCTGCCCTGGGGTGGTCTGACAGAGGCAAGGCTGCCATTTGGCGCCGTCGGCCCCTCTGACCACCACCAACGCAGGCAAGTTGGGTGAAGTGTGGTGAAGGGTGAGACAAAGAACGGTTCAGAGGGTCTTTCATGGATGTACAATCAAAGAGTCGGAGTACCCGGCCCGGAGGGTTACCGGGGTCCCACCCTGGAGCCAGGCCTGGGGTTGGGGCCCGTGAGCGAGTGCCTGGTGGCCGGGCTTTAGCCCATGGGGCCCGGCAGGGCCCAGCCCGAACCGGATACATGGGCTCATCCAATTGTGGACCCACCACCCGCATGGTCATCGGGGGCAGTTCCTGTGGAGTGGCGGACCAGGGTGGTGGTCCCCATCTTTAAGAAGGGTGACCTGAGGGTGTGTTCCAACTATCGGGGGATCACACTCCTCAGCCTCCCTGGAAAGGTCTACTCCAAGGTACTGGAGAGGAGGGTCTGATCAATAGTTGAATCTCAGATTGAGGAGCAATGTGGTTTTTGTCCTGGCCATGGAACTGTGGACCAGCTCTATACCCTTGCAAGGGTGATGGAGGTGGCATGAGAGTTTGCATAACCAATCCAGATGTGTTTTGTGGATTTGGAGAAGCCTTATGACCGTGTCCCCAGGGGCACCCTGTGGGGGAGGCTCCATGAGTATGGGGTGGGTGGCTTTCTGTTAAGGACCATTTAGTCAATCAATCAATCAAATTTTATTTGTAGAACACCTTCCACAACGTTATTGGAAGCCCAAGGTGCTGAACAGCATCATCATAAGAAAAACATTCCCAGTACATGGGCATAAAAGCAAGATGAAAACATAAAATCATAAAATATCAAGCAAACAATATTACAAATAAAGAGAGATAACGGAATAAGACAAATCGATCAAAAACAAATGGTGGACAAAATAAAATCAAGCATCTGGGTTAAAAAGAAGAAGAATTAATACCATAATGTCAGGGCAATTCAAAGAACCCTAGCGCTAAAACGCAATCAAATAAAAATGAGTCTTTAAACGAGACTTAAAGACTTGAAGGGATGGTGCCTGCCTAATGCTCAGTGGCAATTCGTTCCACAGAGTTGGAGCCAAAACAGAAAAAGCACGACAACCCCTCAATCGATATTTCGACCGGGGGACCACCAGAAGTTCCTGCTCGGCTGAGCGAAGAGACCGAGATGGAGCATACCTCTGCAAAAGTGCAGTAATGTACGAGGGGGCACTGCCCTGGAGGGCCTTATAAACGAGAGTTAAGATTTTAAACTTAGCTCGATATTGCACCGGGAGCCAGTGCAGAGCGCCCAGCACTGGGGTAATGTGCTCTCGACATCTAGTCCCTTTACCAGAGGAGCGCGAGTTTGGCCCGCATAGCCGGTAGTAAGTCGGACCTGTTCCCGGTGAGGGTTGGACTTCGCCAGGGCTGCCCTTTGTCACCGGTTCTGTTCATTACCTTTATAGACAGAATTTCTAGCCGCAGCCGTGGTGTGGAGTGTGTCAAGTTTGGTGGCAGGAGAATCTCGTCTCTGCTTTTTGCGGATGATGTGGTCCTCCTAGCTTCATCCAGCTCTGACCTTCAGCTCTTGCTGGGTAGGTTCGCGGCCGAGTGGGAAGCGGCTGGGATGAAGATCAGCACCTCCAAATCTGAGACCATGGTTCTCGACCAGAAAAGGGTGGCTTGCCAACTCCGGGTCGGGGGAGAGGTCGTACCTCAAGTGGAGGAGTTTAAGTATCTCAGGGTCTTGTTCACGAGTGAGGGTAGGAGGGATCGGGATATCAACAGGCGGATTGGTTCAGCATCTGCAGTGATGCGGACGCTGAGCCAATCTGTCGTGGTGAAGAGGGAGCCGAGCCAGAAAGCCAGGCTCTAGATTAACCGGTCGATCTACACCCCAATCCTCACCTATGGTCATGAGCTTTGGGTAATGACCGAAAGAACGAGATCGCAGATACAAGCGGCCGAAATTAGTTTCCTCCGTAGGGTGGCCAGGCTCAGCCATAGAGACAGGGTGAGGAGCTCGGACATTTGGGAGGGATTCGGAGTAGAACCGCTGCTCCTCCGGATCGAAAGGAGTCAGTTGAGGTGGTTTGGGCATCTGGTCAGGATGCCTTCTGGACGCCTCCTTGGGGAGGTGTTTCGGGTATGTCCTGCCGGCAGGAGGCCCCCGGGTCAACCCAGGACACGTTGGAGAGGTTACATCCCCAATCTGGTCCGGGAACGCCTTGGGGTCCTGCCGGAGGAGCTGGTGGAGATGGCTTGGGAGAGGACGGTCTGGAGCTCTCTTTGGGATGCTGCCCCCGCGACCCGGATAAGCGGAGGAAGACGACGAGATGACGTCTTGCCCAAGAACACAACAGCAGAATACCCCTGGCGGGAGCTGGAATCAAACCCATGACCATCCAATCATGAGGCAACCCGCTCTACCTCCTGAGCGATGGCTGCCCCAGACTTTTAGACACGAGGTAGTTTTAGCAGAAATATTGTGAAAATTTGACCAAAATGGCCACAAATGATTCTTAATCTTGAAAAGCAAAATTTACAGCAGTGTAAGGAGTTGTGTGCAACATGACAATTTCTAAATTATTTTAGGATGGTAATCCTAGTGTTGCTTGCCCTAGCTGTTAGCTTGTCAATCTCAAAACAAATCTTCTCCAAACTGGGGTCATTCAAAAACATATTTTAATTGTTTATAACGTAACAATTTAAAATGTACATATATCAAATGTTAAAGATTTAAAACCAAATGTGTGTTTCTCCTCCCTGCAGACCAAAGATTTGCAGAATCCATGCGTCCTTTCCTGGAGGAGATTCAGGATGTGTGGCCCTGGATTTTACTTGCAGGGCTTTGTGGAGGAATTATAACGATCATCATCGCTGCTGCCCTCCTGATCACAAAAAGAAAGTACAAAGGAATGCTGTGGTCTTCTGGGAAAAGTTGGAGTAATGTCTTTTCCCTTCCAGAACGACAGCCTCTTATCTGGGGCAATGACACAAAAGAAGCCAACCACCACAATTACCAAACAACTATGTAAAAAAATGCAGCTTATTCTGTTCATTTGACCTAAAATGCACAAAATGTGTTGAAATTCTGCATTTAGAAAATAAAAAGAATATTTTAAGAATTTTGAGGGTATTTTTCTCTTGAGTTGTCAAATTTGTTTTACTAGTCTGTTCCATGTGGTATTTCGTTCCACAAAAAAACTTTTACATCAGACAGAAATTAGCGGGAATTCGGTTTCTCGATAACCTCTAAAACTGTCTTTTTCAGTGTGTTGCATCAGTCAGTCACAGAAGTTGTCATTTCAGATATATTCACAATAAAAACTTTTTTAAATTGCTGTCCATGTCAGAAAAGTAAAATTCAAAATCAGGGTATTTTCACCTGTGAACTTTTTCTTTTGAATAAAGGTTTAATAAAGCAAAAACTGTTTGGAGGATTGATTTAATGTAGATAATATGGTCAAGGTCGGAAAAGTCTAAACATCGTCTGTGAGCTGGACCCGTTCTAATATTGTCCAGATGCAAAAAACTGCTGAAAACACATTTTCTTTTTTAGACAAATCAAGTAAAGGTTTCCAAAATCAACAATGGTGTTTAAAGATTCTGCCATTGATGCTTTAGTCTAAATATTGTAGTTTTACAGTTAGAACAGATTAACATTCTCAGGCAGTCGAACATTAATTGAAATTATCCTTTAGCAATGTCAGATTTTAATAAATATAAAAAAAATGTTGTCACTAATGAAAATTTCAATTTTTTCTACATTATTATTTTTGAGGGACAATTTTAACAAGGACATAAAAACATTCACGGTTACTTAGTTGAACGAGTCGACTAAGACTGCATCTGATTTAGTTTGAAACCAGGATGCTGAAAATAAAATCTGTTCAAAGTATGAATAGGAACCTAAAATAGATGAGTATTTGTAAAAAAGGGGCAGGTAATTTGTATTTAAAGTTTTTGTGTTGGTATGTATATTGAGTTTTTCCAAATTTTTCCCTTTGAAAAATTATAAAAACAGAAAAAAAACTTGCCAATATTAAAATGTTACTAAATATTCAGAGTATAAAAACAAGACAATAGACTGTCCTGCTGTAATTTAACAGTTAAACAAGAAACAATGTCACATAAAATGTACGATGTCACCAAATAAAGAACAAAAATGCTGTTTGGGGGTTAAAACTCGTTCTCTAAGCAAATATTTATTTCAGGTCTTTTTTATTTCACAGAGCTGTTGTGAAATATTCTGATGTAAATGAGCCAAATCCATCAGATTGTTGGGGTTTTCTGATGCTTTAAAGATGCTGTTAGTTAAAATAATAAATACACAGGAATAGGTAATTATGTGTGGGATCTTCTAATGTGTACAAAGCACTTTCTAATGAAGACTAACCAGTAAAATACAGAAATTTGACTACTGCCAACTACTGAATAAGTGTATACAACTCAGAAATACAAACTCTGTGAGCAGTTCTCCAAATACTTTGTACTGGTTTGTCTTATCTTGCATTTAACTTTTACACTTTAGTAGCTCCACAATTACCAATTACTGAGTACTTATTTTAAGCACAACCGGTTTGCATGATTTTTCCCCAAGGTGAACTCATCAGTTTACAGTTCTTGAAGCAATGCACACCTCAAACCCATCAGTAACATTTGTTTCAACCTCCAACTCCATCTTTATTATTTACCTGCAGACAGAAGTCTAATTTTTATTCACCAATCACAAGTCTCCTCTTTGATGAAATCGGTAAATGACCCAGCTTGATCCTTGCATGTGAAGGTCAGGCTCACCCGCATCACTAACATGAAGCTTAAACTCCAGCAACACGTTCCAAGTCACAGCAACCCTGAATGTTGAATGAATGCAAGCCAGACTTTTCACTTTAAAGGTCACATACGTAGTCATTCAGCAAAGAGCCCAAACATGCTTCGTTTAATTAACTACGATACCTAATAAACACCATGACTCAGATTTTACCATAAACATTTATTTGACTGTTTTGAGTGATTAAACTAATTCCTTTATGCTGCTTAAGAGTGGTCTCATTAGGCCCAATATACATCATACACTCTTCCGCTAGACACATGCTGTCTAGCGCATCACCTCAATAATACAGTGTGTTTTTGCTCAAAATACTTAGTATTCATTTGGCATTCTCAGATGTTACAGTACATTCTCAGTGAAAACAGAGATAAAGGGATATTATACAGAATGTGTTAAACGTGATGGAAAATTAAAAACACAGATTTGCTGTGATAGAAACAGGATGGCCAGAGGACACCAACGGTACATTTACTCAGAATATTTTGTTTTTATTGTAAAAGAGAATAAAAATTCAAATATATTGAGTTCTTTTTTCTACAGACTTGGAAATAAATGTAAAAAAAATGTTTAAACCTAATTTTTACACAATAGTTGAAACTAAAGGATAAATTTGATCCACACATGCAAGAAATGAAATAAATCTGTGGTCCAGAATGGTTCAATCTGAGCGGTCCAGACTGGGTTGGAGATAAAAGTGTGGTCCCAACTCCAATAGGTATAAATCAAGCATATTTAAGCTAATTTCTCATGTTGTGATATATATATATATATATATTTTTTTTTTTTTAAACCGCAAACTAATAAAGCCAACTGACAGAAAAAACTCATTCCTGTGATAAAGGATGATAAAAACGAATTACGATGAAATAGTTGAAAGCCAAAAACAAAGTAAATAACTTACAGTCTGCCTTCCTGGCTTTATTTAAGCTAGAAGTAAATATACCTGTTAATAAATCCAAGCCATTAATCTTCATCCTCTTCCTCGCTTTCATCTTCGTCTTTCTTCTGCTCGCTCTCCTTAGGAGGCGGAACAGGAGGAGGAAGGTCCAGACGGGCCCAAGACATCGGCTCAGCCTTCTTCATGGCGACCTCGATCTTGGCTGCCATCATGTTTACAACACTTTTATTCACATCTATCACCTAGAAAATAACATTTATCAACAGGATGTTAAAAAAGTTCAATTATTGACCTTTGCTTTTTAAAGAATCACAAATGGAAGATATGTTTGGATTGGAATAACGCCGTACTTACTCCCCACAAGCTGATTATCTGCTCAAACTCCTTTTCTCCTTCAAATATAATATGGATGTCGAGCTGAAAAAGGGGGAAAGACCCTAGATTAAGACCGAAAGCACACTGAGCTGAGTGGTTTAGAATGGGACAGAACCTCTCACCGTGGTGCTGTTAGCATCAACGTAGCTTAGCTCAGGAACCGCGTTTTTAGCATAAATAGAAATGATGACCTGTGTCCCGGTCTGGTGCCAGTCAAACCGACAGGGAACCACCTTCTTTCCCTGCAAGGAGATTCCTGTCAAACCACTAGATGGAGTTCCAGCTAAAGCTCCGCTCAGACTCCACGCTGTCATGCCGGCACCTCCTACCTCATCCTTTTTCCTCCACAGATGCGTTCCCTTAGTGCAGCCCTCCTGAGACAGGAAGGTGTTAAAGTCCGAGGTTTTCCTCTTACAGCAGCTCCAGTATTTCATTCTGGATATGAAGAAGAGACATAAACACCAGCTGGGACTTTAGAAGCAGAATAAACAAGACATATCTGGTAGTCACCAGAGAAAATGCAGATGCTTTTCATTACTCTTCTACAGAATATCTATTAAATTGCTGCAATAAACAAAGACTTAAACATAATAGAGGTGAAATAATTGGAATGATACTGACCCTTCGTGGAAGATGGGGACTCCAGTGTGGTATAGACACACATCAGAGTCACTGGTGGGTCCTTCAAAGTTCTGAGAAGAGAAATAACGAGGTTTAAGATGATCTCTCAGATTAAAACTGAAAAATAAAGATTAATATAAATACAGGAAAGATCTTTAATTCAGCTATTGATATTCTTTATTATTGGTTTTTAAATTCACAATTTTGTTTGTTTTGAGGAATATTTATTACATTTTCTCTTAATATTACTGTAAAGACAAAGCTCGATACATGTTTTATGGTTTACAGAAACACCAACACCAGTGTAGACTTTAACAAGATCCTTACAAATAAACAGAAAACAAGCATAAGTCCAATGAAAGATTATTTTAAAATTAATTGTTTTCATTATGTAAATAAGTTCAAAACAGCAACCAGATGTCAGAGTTAAATTTCCACACATTTGATGTAATCCGTATTTTTCTGCTCTGACAGGTTTGGTTTTACACCAGTATAGCAGGAAATTTTATTCTTTTGAATTTTTACGAGACTATTGGGCCATTCCCATCTGTACCAGGTGGTGGAGACAACACATAGAAGCACTAATTTGATCTCATTTCAGAGAAAAATAGAACAGGTTAGAGGCACCTAATAAATAAAATTACAAATAAACCCAGGAATCTGTTTATTTGCTTCACTGTTCTGGTGCTGAGAATATCACTAATGCGGATCAAAGGAGATACACAGATGAATGCACCTCTTATTTATTATTTGGAGTCTACATTTACTGCAGCTGGCAGAGGCAGAGATTGTTTCTATTGATACACGAATTTACAGAATCATTTTAAATGTTAATAGGGGAAGACTGCAGGAGGGAGCGGTAAAATACAGGGGGTCCCCAGCAAAAACAAGAAACTTTACGAGTCTGATGAAACCCGCTGGTTTTCCATCAGGCAGTCACGGGGCAGCTCCAACGACCCAGTGGCTGTGCTGGGTCAATGGTATCGAGCTCAGTCCAGCTCAGCCGTGAACGAGTCGAGGCGACGTCGTGCTCTGCTTAAGAAGAGGTGTTATTTTCCCGCTTCAGAAGAAGCGTCCAACGTGTTTTTACGCTTTCTCCGAGACATGTCACGTCGCTAAGTTGTTAGCGCCGCGCGCTAAAACGTCAAGAGTGCAGCGTAGCCTGCTGGAGGTTTTAAGGGTTCAGATGAAACACCCGACCTCTCAGGCTGCTCACACATCGATCTTAAGTTGTCGGTGTTGCGCTCACGCCGTAATACAGTATTAGATGCAGTTAAAGTCAGACATGAAAAAATAAATTTTACATGAATAAGTGATGCTTAGCCTGGTGGGGGGAGGAGAACCTGGCCTAGTAAGCACTGGAGGAAACCCTGTCAAGATCGTCAACACTCGTTTATCTTAATCCTTTTGAAACATGTAAACCAAAAAGCATTATATCCACTGCTACCTTTCTAATTTTAAACTCCGTAACTTATGCTGTAACTTCACCTTGCCCTGCCTGCTCCTCCTTGCTGCCGCCGGCTGTGATCAAAAGCGACAACATAGTAGTTCCCGCTGCTTCTTCGGGAAACAGCGCCAACAAAACAAAAAAACTTGGGATCTTGTAGGCGTGGCGGTGGGATTTCAGCCGTGGCGGGCCGCCACAGCTACGCCTATGTAAGGGAGACCCTGACCTTGGTGGCTGATTTGCTAGCACATTGTGTCTAATGAAAGCGGCTATAGACGGCTTGTTGAACTTCCGTCAGTACCGGAGTAGATTTTCCCACAATTTACTTCTTCAAACTGGCACCATTCCAACGTTAAAACCACCCGATGTTTAAGCCAGAGTACAACGTTAGCTTACAGAGTACTGCACTCGTCCAGCTTCACTTAAGGTTTGGTGGGCGTGCATGATGGCAAAGGTGCTTTCTTCTTTTCAATCTTCTTCATGGCCCACAATGCTTTGTTGGGCATCTAAGGTTATGTCATTAAATGGGTGGAATTCACACAGGTGGAGGCAGGATTTCACCGAATCCAAGCGTCTTTTTCCGGGATGAAATAATGTCTCAAAAAATGATTTACATTTCAGAGCAAATCACGTCTCCATAGTGCAGATGGTAATATTTTAATATATTGGCCAGAAAGGTGTAACACAGCACGATACGACCTTTAAAGTCCACTTAAGTGACACTTTTTTTTATTTTATAAAAATGAACATAATGTCTCCTATTGAATTCAACAGCAAAGAAGTGTAAATGTATTAATTATTCACTTACTTTAGTACATCCTCCGTTTTTACAGGATGTTCCAATTTTGACCTCATCACCATCCTCCTCTTCAAAGCGCGCGCGCACACACACACACACACACACACACACACACACACACACACACACACACACACACACACACACACACACACACACACACACACACACACACACACACACACACACACACACACACACAATAAGAATTTAAATGGATTGTGCCGTTCTCTACATGTCATCGTTAACTCAAACATGATGATATTAAAGACAGATGATGGGAACCTCCCAGTAGAACGTCCATTAGGCTCTACTGTTAACATGACCTTCACAATGATGAACACCGAGTGAACGCAAACATTAAGCATCCACTCCTACCTTTCATCTCTGCCGTATTCTCAGAAAGTTTCAGTTTCTCCAGCGCTTGCTTTAGCGAGGCAGAGACTTTATTCTGTAATCTCACCATCGGCTCATTGGAACTGGAAGAGTCGCAAAGACATTTCAAAATAAGACATTTGTCAGGTTCCTTTAAGAAATGGGTTAGACAAAAACACCATTTCTGCTACTTCTCTCACTAACTTATAGAAACTGGAGCTGAAACCAACCTCGGTCTGCAAATCGCCTCCTGAGGTTTCGGGGCGGAGATTATGTACTCATTAAACTTGGGCTTTTGGGCTTCTAGCTCTTTCTTTTCTCCTGAAGTTTTCACATCTGGTTTCACCGGCTCGGGGGGCTTCTCTTTGTTATGGGGACCTTTTGTGCAGCCCTGTGAGAAGAAGACAAGAAAAAGAAAAACCACAGAGTTGGATTCGCAAGCGAAACTTGTAATGGTGAGAGAAGTATTGGCGATCGATGCCTGTGGAACAGCAGACAGTTGAGGGAATTGTGGAGATGGCAATGATTAAAACTGAAAACTTACAGCAATGCTAAGGAAGTCGGAGAAGTCGGTAGTTCTTCTCTTGCAGCAGGACCATCCCTGAGAGGTCATGAAGAAGCAGCAACATTAACCGCGATTTGAAATGGATAAAAGCTACCCAATAATCATTTCAGGTGTTTTACCTTCAAAGCATCGTGGAACACCGGGACTCCGGGGTGATACGTGCAACCATCTGAAAACAAAAACATCTTACATTCAGTTAGAGACAAACTGAAAATAGTACCAGTTGACAACAAAACTAGATTGGTCACTGGGGTGAACGTCCCATTTAAAAAACTCAAAATGATTGTCTTTCTTAACCTTGTATGTAAAGAAATTCAAAAGAAATGACTTGTAAAATAGTTTTAACTGACTGTTTTCATCATATAATAATAATAAACTGTGTGATTTAGTTCCATATTGGTGTTGCTGATGCACAGACGGTTTCCTGCTTCCATGAATTCAATTCAGTTTATTTATACATCACAAGAAGAGTCGTCTCAACGCACTTCACAAAGTAAACACTCCAACTGAGTTCAGTTCTTTAAGCCAATTAGTTAAAAGTGTCCTAAATAAGGAACCCATTGCATCAAGTCACTGACGTCACAGCGATCCTCATACTCAGCAAGCATGTAGCGAGAGTGGAAAGGAAACCTCCCTTTTAACAGGAAAAAACCTCCAAAGGATCCTGGCTCAGTGTAAGCAGCCATCCGCCATGACTCACTGGTGGTTTGAGAAGACAAAGCAGACACACACTCGCACATTCATGCACACACAGATTTAGTAAGAGGGACTCATAAGTATGGACTTGGGCATGTTCAACACGTCTTGAGGCTGTGGTTGACACTAAATGCACTGTGATTTATTATCATGATTGTTCAGTAAAACAATGTTGATTTTATATTTTCTCATCAAGTTGACACAGTGATAGCTTGCTCCTGATGTATTGTTGTGTTCCTTTTCTGCAGGTCTAGAAGCAGACTCTTGTTCATCATTGACTGTTCCCCCCTTTGTCTCTTCCTTTCTCTTTCACCTCTGTCTCCGTGTCTGGTCGGAATTACAAACAATCAAAAAACAATAACAATAAAGTTTTAAGTATCAGGCGTGACATTAAAAGCAGAAGCTTTGATGCTCCACCTGAGAGTAAATCTGTAAGGCTTGTCACCAGCATTCAGACATTAATTCTGTTTGCTTCACAGCCAGACAGGACACTGGAAAAAAATAAAATAAAATAAAGTAAGAGGGACATGGAAAAGCAAGTATACAACCAAGCACTAAGGGAGTGTTATTGCAGTATCTTGTTGTTCTGTCACAAGGAAGGCAGTAAAAACTACACCACCTAGGAGTCCGATTTTGAATCACACCCACAAAATAAATACAATAAATGTTTTTATTTAAATTCTCAATAGAAAATTGATGCTTTAAATATTGAACATGATATTTTTGGCAATTTGATTTGTCAATCGACAACATAATGTGTCACAATTGGCCTGAGCTACATGTGAGAATAGAGAAGCAGCACTTCTGACCTATTGGCCAGTGGTTCACGATTTTGCCTCAACAGAGTGGATAACCCTTCACCTGTTGGATCAGGTAACAAGCCTGAAATGTTTGAAGCTAATTAGAGTATGTTAAAAGAGGTAAAGATGCATTTGAATGACATTTTTTTCAGCGGTATATGCACATTGGATTGTGAACCTAAGGCCTTTTGAGGACTAGTTATTTTTACTGGACCCTTGTGGACATAATAAGACCATTTTTTTTTTTCCAAGACGACACTATTCTGTGAATGATACGAGGTGTTCAATGATGAGTTAGACATTACATTACATTACATTACATTTCTGAGTGGTTTGGCAAAAGTGTTGAATGTGTCTACAGTTATGGTTGAACCCTTAAATGCCATGTATCATTGGAATAACAAGAATCATGGCTTTTTAATGTGTTATAATATGTATATGGGGTGACGGAGGCACAGGAGTTAAGTGCTCGCCCCGTAATCGGAAGGTTGCAGGTAGGGCTGCTCAATTAATCGAATTTTAATCACGATTACGATCTGAGTTTTGAACGATTATAAAAAACAAAACAAGCCGATTATTTGCTCCTCCCGCCTGCGCTGCCCCGAGTTGCAAATGAAGCGCTCCTCCCACAGTGTTGCCAATTTAGCGACTTTGACGCTATTTCTAGCAGCTTTTCAGACCCCCTTCTTGACTTTTTAACTTAAAAGTATCTAGTGAACACCTCAGAAACATCTCTGGTAACCCTTAGCTACTTTCTGGATAACTATCGTCGACGTTTCCTGCAGGTTAGCTAAACACCGCCTGCTCTCCGGACCGTTCTTCAGGACATTAGGAAAGGGAATGATGTAGCGATGTCGGTCGCTAAAAAAACAGCTCTCGGAGCCGGCTCCTTGTTGGAGCAACCAGAGTGAGTGACACACACACCGCACCTGCGGACTCCTGAGCCACTAAAAACGGCTAAATGTGCGCGTGCGGCGCGCTAAACACACGTGCAGCTTGCCCCGATTGCTGTGAGACCGGGTTGGGGGGTGGGGGGTGCAGCTGTGGTTGGGACAATTATTACATTAACTGATGGACTTGTAAATAAATAGTTTATAAATAAGGTAGAAATAAGTTCCTCACGCTGATAAATAATAACTAATCTCTCTGAGGATACGGTGCTAGTGCACTCTCCTACAGCACCTTGACACGACTAAATACGTATTATGCAACATTTTGTGAACATCAATTTATTTGCATGTATTTGTTATGAATGCCACTGTATAATTCTTGCTGTCAGTATTTGCAAGATATTGGTATTTGGGTCTGTACTGGTTAGACTTAAATGAGTTAAACCAAGGTCTATAGCCCTTGGGTCATAAACTATGAGCTATAAGTATATTGGTCTTTTTATCCTGGGAATCAGGAGTTATTTTAGTGATCATCTTGTTTCTTATTTTCGTCCTGATTGTGCCCTGAGCAGTTTTATGACTGAATAAAAACAAATAAAATCAACATAAATTGAAAAATCGTCCTAAATAATCGTGATCTCAATTTCAGTCACCATAATCGTGATTATTATTTTTGCCATAATCGAGCAGCCCTAGTTGCAGGTTCGAGCCCCACTCAGTCTGTCGCTGTGTCCTTGGGCGAGACACTTAACCCACCTTGCCTGCTGGTGGTGGTCGGTAGGACCGGTGGTGCCAGTGCTCGGCAGCCTCGCCTCTGTCAGTGCGCCCCAGGGCAGTTGTGGCTACATCGTAGCTCATCCCCACCAGTGTGTGAATGTGTGTGTGAATGGGTGAATGACTGATTGTGTTGTAAAGCGCCTTGGGGGGTTCCAGGACTCTAGAAGGCGCTATATCAAATACAAGCCATTTACCATTTTACCATGTATATGTACATAGAAAGGGTGTTACAAAAAAAATACTGATTTGACATGGAATTTTGTAATGTCTTATCTGTGAGACTAATACATAGAGAACAACAATCAGCGAAGGGCTCGGCCCATCGATGGTTGATTAATTCGTCCAATCGCTCAACCTTAATCACTAATAAGAATGTGATCCTGAGTTAATCTAGTGAAAATTTAAAAGCAACAAGCAAATGTGTAAATGGGCTATGATGTTATTATTAAGTACACTCAGATCCACAAAAAAATTTGATTTGAAAACAACAATCACTGTGAAAACGCCTCATCAAAAAGCAGATTGCTGGTGGACAAAAAGTGCACACGGTAGAAAATATTTGCTTGGCTAAATGTCTGATGGAATTTAAATTACTGAGGAATATATAATTAAAAATTGCCTCTATGGAAATCTATTTGCATTAAAAATAAGGTATACGAATGAACCACATCTGAGATTTCTACGCAGTAAATTCTCTGCACTATTTAATGTACTGTTATAAGAAGTACCATGCCTGACCACAAATCACTGTGGAGTAAATAAAGGTTGGTATACATTATAAGTCATAAATCACTTTCTGTACAGTGCAGCCTGAGCAGTGCCTTTCCCGTGCTATTGCCATAGATACACTACTTAGATATCCCTACAGGTAATTATAATATATTCTACGCTTATGATAAGGCGACATCCTTTTAAAATGGAAATTAGATGAGGCTTTTGCTTTGAGTGTCTGGCAGTACACAACGGTAGATTACTCAAGAGGAAGACTATTTTGAATAGAGGAAATTGAGGACTTACTGAGGGTCTGTTGTGGAAACTGAGGACAGCATCACCACCATGACAATTATATTGCAATACATAGCTCAACATAAAGAGTGGCTCTGACAACAAAGTCGGTCTTATATTATTAAAAAGGTAATTCAAGTAAAGAAAACACATTTTGAACAATGATCTGTGACCCTGTAAAAGTATTGGTGGATTTTCAGAGTTATTACATGAGTACTTTTCAAAAACAAACAAAAAAATGAAAAATTGATAATATTTTTCTAAATGTGAGAAAACAGTAAAATCCCATATCTTCCCCAAGTAAACATGAGATACTTCTTAAATGCTTACCAGCTTGGAAACAAGTCACACTTTATGTTTTATGTTTGGCAACCTTGAGAGTAGGGATGTCCCGATGCAACTTTTTCACTTACGATACAATACCGATATTGCAGCCTTCAGTATTGACTGATACCAAACCGACATCAATTTGATATATCAGCACAAATCATACATACTTTTACCAATTTCTTAGTGGGGAATGTATGAATGGCTTGATTAAGTGATATTACTCAATCGGAGAACAAGAGCCAATAACAGTAAGTGTCAAAAAAATAAAAGGCTTTTTTTTTAAACAACTGGTTGCAAAATAGTAAATCTTAACGGGCTGCTTATATCTGAGATTTTTGATGCGGTCCGATATAATCCGATACAGTGTTTTTGGGCTGATCTACAGTGATGATATCTGGATTTTTTTGAAGTCAAATACTGGTGAAGGTTCTCAGTCATACATGCCCTGCTAATCCAAAGGGGTTTGAATGAAGGCAAATGGACTTCTTTGTTTCTTGAAGATGTTTCGCTTCTCATCCGAGAAATTTAGTAAATTCTGACTGGACTATGGGAAAATCAAACTTGGAAACTGTAGCTGTCTGTTGTTGAATGAACTGAAACTACAGTCAGGTCCATAAATGTTGGGACATCGACACAATGCTAACATTTTTGGCTCTATACACCACCACAATTGATATCAAATGAGACAAACAAGATGTGCTTTAACTGGAGACTGTCAGCTTTTATTTGAGGGTATTTGCAACCAAATCAGGTGAACGGTGTAGGAATTACTACAGTTTGCATATGTGCCTTGATGTTTATAATTTGGAAAAGTGCTGAATCGTTGCTGCACAGATTAACCAAGTTTTATTAATCCAACATAAATCAAATAAAATCCAAAAAGAACTCTGTCAACACTTTCAGAGGTCATTACGTCACTTGTGAAACTCCATCGCCATCATGTTCTTTAATTTACAGGGTCACTGCAATGCACAAAAGTATCTTGTTTACTTTAACACTTTTGTTTTGAATATGAATACTTTAAGGGTTTAGACGTGTGTGTGTGTGTGTGTGTGTGGGGGGGGGGGGGGGGGGGGGGCATACGATGATGTTATCCAAGGTAGGGAAGCCATCCCATCCTGGGCATTTGTGTATTGTAACACCCCTGATTTGAATCATTGAGTGATTAATAGGCTTTTATAAAAACTCATCCAAGTTTACAAAAGGGAGGTCAAAAAAACTAAAACCTAAAAAGCAAAGTCGAATGAGCATTTAACCATTTTTCAGCTAAATTTTGAAAACTGTTTGACGAGTCATCGTTTAACTTCTATCGTTTGATTTAAGGGCTGAAAAAGTGTTTAAATACAGTTTTATGTGTTGGTTTTAAAATGATGACCCGTCCAGATGTAACCAGAGAACTCAAGAGTTCATTAAACTTTTAGCTAGTCCAGACGAGTCACCGGTAACGAACACGCTAACCTGCTAACAGCATGTTTCCGTTGGAAGACAAAAGGCTAACGCGGGATCATTTACTAGAGTTTTGGATGATTTTAAAGTCACTAAATGAAGTAGTAAAAACACACAGCTAACATCAGCTTAGCTACGCGTGCCCAGACAGGCCCGCACGTTGTAGAAATTTCCAGATGATCAGAGGTTAGCTTGCTAATTTTCCGACAACACCCAGCTAACAATCCCCAAACTCACCGTCCGGGTTGCTTTCTGGGTCGAACCGTTGTCCACATCCCTTATTATAACACAGAACAGACATGGCGACCGATATAAAGAGTTTAAACTGTGGCTCGCCTTCTAACAGAGAAGTTTGTGTGAAAGAGATGCGACGCCGCTGAAGCCGAGTGGGCTAATGAACACTTCCGGGTGCTTTCGGCAACGCTCGGTTTAGATCGGAGCTCGGGTTCCGCGTCCTTCCAGTGAGCGCGGTCCCACATCAGCGTCAACTGATGCTGGCTGCTTCTAAACTTACACCTTCCCTAAGCACCTCGTTCGTTACGGACCCGAACCTTGCAGCAAACGGTCCAGAATTGCTCTGAGGTCAGTTTGGAGTTTTTTCTGCTGCAGATACCGATCCACACGCATAACTGGGGCAATAAGCTGTTTAATTACGAGGACGGCTGCAGCAGGGTATTTGTCAACTGCCTGTCAGGATATTTAGATGAAAATCTTTTTTTTTTCTGTCGCACCTGACTCTTCTGCACCTGTTTCCTATAGCCATGCAAAGAAAGGGAAAGCTTTGCATCTGTTTCATCTAAAGGTAGGACACTTTTGAGAGACTGTTGTCATAAACTCGTGGATTTGACAGGAAAGGCGAGCTCCGCTGACCGGAGCCGCATCGTGGGAAGAGTGACCCGTGAGATCTACCGGGACAGTTTCCCGGGGGGAGATTTGTGCGGCTGAACTGTGACAGTCCATTTGGTGCTAATGATCATTGCGTGTGCTACCATGAGTGCAGCGCACCGCACGGACAAAGTGGGCGCATATGTGTTTTAGTTTATCTTTTTAATCACATAAAAGGATGCTCCACGTGCAATCGGAATGCAGAGGACACACTGTAAAGCATCGCGTGCCATCAAAATATAAAACAAAATTGATTTAAACTTGACCTGCGAGATGATTTCACAACTTCTTTCTAAACGAGTGTAAATCCGAGCTGTTTGTGATTCATTGCACAATGATGCAGAAAACTGTGACAAAAAACAACTATTTGCGACTCATTGTATTTGTCTTGAAAACACTTTTTCTCTGAGAGAAAGCATGCTGGGTTCTGATATGCAGTTAAAGTCTTGTCATTTTGTAAGTCACAGTATTTAGTGATTTGAAATGAATCCAAACCATTGGCTTGCCTCCAACTATGCCATCAAAGCCCTTTAGGGATACTCCAAAAATGTCTTTTTAACTCTTGCCCTAGAGTTGTCTTTCAAATGATTAGTGTGCATGTCTTTAACATCCCCTGAACTGAATCCAGGTCATCCCGTTTAGTATTTTTGTTGCAGTCTAATAGGATGATTATATGACGGGATGTTGATGATACTTTATTAGTGGGGAAATATGCTTCTTCAACCCAATTTTCCTCTTTTTTTAAATGTTATTTTATACTTTCTTCATTTTCCTTTAATCCGAGCCCAATTCTTACCCACACCGAGGGCAGGACGAGGATTGCTGCTCTTCACCCAGCCGGTGTACAATGCTTCAATCTTCGAGAACTCTGCTGCACGAACCTATGTCAGAAGTGAGGTCCAAATGGGCATCACTCTTGTGCCATCTTGGCCTTTAGATGTGAAATATTCTATAGAGTTTGGTAACAGTGAAGGGATCTTCCAAGCCGAAGAGTTTGTGATGGGGGACTTTTGTTTTCTCCGTATTTGTATAAACGGAGGTAGCGGTGCCACACTGAATCGAGAGGTGCAAGACAATTACACTTTGACAGTTAAGGCATCTGCCAATGGAGGTCTAGAGACCTTGGCCACCGTTTACATCACGGTCTTGGATACCAATGACCTTCGACCTCTCTTCTCCCCAACCTTTTATTCATTTGTTGTTACTGAAAGTGCCCCCCTGGGCACCAGCATCGGACGTGTAACAGCTACAGACGCTGACATCGGATCCAACGGAGAATTCTACTACTTCTTCAAAAACAGAATAGATCTGTTTGCCGTGCATCCAACCAGTGGTGTCATAACCCTGACAGGTCAACCCAAGATAGACAAAAAGGACAGATTTGAGCTGGAGGTGCTGGTGGTGGACAGAGGGATGAAGCTTTATGGGAATAATGGTATTAGCAGCACTGCTAGGCTGGTTTTAACTATAGAGCGGGTGAATGAATTTGCTCCTGTTCTCAGTGCTGTTGCTGTTGCTCCATCATGGGCAGATAAAGACCCAGTCTACACCCTAGTGACCGTGGAGGATAAAGACGAGGGTTTATCTGGGGAGATAGAGTGGTTGTCCATTATTGAGGGTGACCCGTTTGAGCAATTTGTGATTGAGAGATCAGCTGTTGGGAATGAATATCGGGTTAAAACATTAGAAGAGATTAACTGGGATACATACCCCAATGGCTGCAACTTAACGTTCCAGGCCAAAGACAGAGGCATACCTCCCAAGTTTTCTAACAGTCAAGTTGTGCAGCTGGTGGTGACAAAACGAGACTTCATGTTAGCAAAATTTGAAAAAGATGTTTATGCAGTCCATTTGAGTGAAGTAGCTCCCCCAGGCACTATTGTAGAAGTGGTAAAAATATCCCCAGCCCCTCCGAGTGTCAATTACAGCCTCAGCAGCCTCTCATATCCAGTGTACTTTGATATAAACCCTTTGACTGGAGTTATTATGACCACAAGGCAGCTGACAAAGATATCACAGGATTTCATGGAGACAGAGGTAGTTGATCATATCAGTCAGCAGCGAGCAAGAGTTCAAATTACCATAGATGATGCAAATGACAATTTTCCAGTGTTCAGCCAGTCATCCTATGAAATTGCGATCAATGAGAGTTTACCGGTAGGTACTGTTGTTCTTGTAGTGTCGGCTGTGGATGATGATAAGGGAGAAAATGGGATTGTAACTCACACAATCAATGGTGAGAAGTCTCTTCCATTCAACATAGATCAGGACACGGGGGAGCTGAGGATCATGAGAGATCTAGACTTTGAGTCATCAGAAGATGTGTATACTTTTGCAGTACGGGCTTCAGACTGGGGTTCACCATACAGAAGGGAGAGCGAGGTTAACATCACCATTCGTATAATAAACATCAATGACAATCAACCTCTGTTTGAGAAGATTTCTTGCAGAGGGATGATAGGCCGAGATTTCCCCGTCAACAAGACTATTGTCACCATGTCAGCCATAGACATGGATGAGTTAGCAATGGTGAGGTACAAGATAATGTCTGGGAATGAGTTTGATAATTTCTACTTAAATCCAGATTCTGGGGCTTTGACTTTGAAACGATCTTTTGCAGGAGATAGTTTGAAAAGTGGGATGTTCAGTCTGAAAATTGTTGCCTCAGATGGAGAGTTGTTCTCTGATCCAACCTTTGTCAACATATCAGTGGTGAGGAGTTGGATGCCACCTGGTGGATTCTCCTGCAAGGAGACTGGGGTGGCCCAGTTGTTGGCAGAGAGAATGCTCTTAAAAGCCTCAGCAATGGCTAGACCCAAGTCCTCTGACAGATACGTAGATCTCTTCTCTGTCAACAAGCAATCCCCCCAGTTTGAGGCTTTGCCTATGAGTATTCTGGTGAGAGAAGATCTGACTGTCGGAGCCAGTGTGTTCCAAGTGCGAGCACGAGACACAGACATAGGTTTTAACGGTCGTGTTCTCTTTTCCATTTATGACGGTAACAAAGAGAACAGCTTCAACATCCACATGGAGAGTGGACTCATAACAGTGCTGCAGCCACTTGACCGAGAGCGACTGGACCGTTACTTTCTCAATATCACCATTTATGATCAGGGCATCCCCCAGATGTCCAACTGGAGACTTATGACTGTGATCATTGAGGATGCAAATGACAACGATCCACAGTTTTATCAGAATGACTATTCTGTAGTTGTTCCTGAGGACACAGAGATTGGCATGGAAGTTATTACAATCACTGCCTTTGACAGAGACATGGGCCAGAATGGACAGCTGTCATTTCTAATGCTGACCAGCATCCCCGAGTTTGGTATTGACAGTGAAACTGGAATTGTATTTGTTGCCAGTCAGCTGGACAGAGAAACATTCCCAATGTTTTCATTGAAGATTGAAGTGAGAGACAAGGCTGAAAAGGTCACTCGAAGGTCAGCAGTGACCACTCTAAATGTTATTGTGGATGACGTTAACGATTGCTCCCCAGTGTTCGTTCCTAACAGTTACAGTACACGGGTACCAGAGGATCTGCCACCCGGAGCTGTGATCACCTGGGTTCAAGCTCAGGACCCAGACGTTGGACCTGGTGGACAAGTTCGATACTCCTTGGTCAATGACTTCCAAGGTACTTTTGAGGTAGGTTGTGAAAGCGATATAATGTGTGATGTTTGTTGTGGTGTTTATTTAAACACAAACATATAAATTGTCGTGCCAAATTTCAGTTTTGTATGAATATTTAGTAAAACTTTTACAGCTGTTTTTAATTTTTTTTTACTATCACACATTGTTATACCCTATTTAAATGGTAAATATGGCTGCTTTGTTTAATCTATTTAATTTAGACGATCCAGTGGACACACTGGACAGATTTGGGCCTAATAAACTTAAAACTTTGAGAGCTTAATTATTCAAAAGGCCAGCAGGCATTTTCAAACTCTCACCAGAACGGGAAGTAATACAAAATGCTCCAGTACTCTAGTCTATTCATCAACAAAATCAAAGTTTGGATGATTTGAGACTTAAATATTTGTGAATTGTCGATCTAGTAACAAGCACTGATGGATGAGACTGTCTGGTGTGGTGTTTTGTGCAGATTGATGTTGTTACTGGTGTACTGAGGATTACAAAGGACCTGGACTTTGAGACAAAACAATTTTTCAACCTGACCATACTTGCTGCGGATAAAGGGGTACCCAGCCTTCAGAGCCAGACTTTTGTGGAGGTCGAGGTCAGTGTCCCACATTTCATATAATTTCACATTTACAATATATGGATGAAAAACAGTTATTATAAAAATTACCTACAGCAGTGGTTTTCAATTATTTTGTGTCACACCCACCCTAGAGGACATAGCACATAGCACTCTTGAACACCCCCCCCCCCCCCCCTTAATGTTGAGTTAACAGGCACAGTTAGCTTAGCATATGGTTGGCATGAAAAGATAACTGCATTTGTTAACTCAACTCGTTAACGCTGCTCGTTAGCCACAGTTTTTATGGTAATGTATTTTTTTGTACCTTCAATAGAAACAAGCAATTAACCACAATAAATCTTAGTCTAAAACATTCAGAGCATGAATAAATATCATTAATTGTCTTAAAATGAAATTCTTTCATTTGATAATACATATTTTCATAAAGGGCACCGCCTTCTTCTCAAAAGTTCCACGAAGCAATAAATCGCCAAAGTCCACATCGATGTGGACTTGGACAAAGTGCGAATCAAATGGTAAAATGGCAAATGGCCTGTATTTGATATAGCGCCTTCTAGAGTCCTGGAACCCCCCAAGGCGCTTTACAACACAATCAGTCATTCACCCATTCACACACTGGTGGGGATGAACTACAATGTAGCTACAGCTGCCCTGGGGCGCACTGACAGAGGCGAGGCTGCCGAGCACTGGCGCCACCGGTCCCTCCGACCACCACCAGCGTGGGTTAAGTGTCTTGCCCAAGGACACAACGACAGCGACACTGAGCAGGGCTCAAACCTGCAATCTTCCGATTACGGGGCGAGCACGTAACTCCTGTGCCACCGTCGCCCCGTGCAAATGGGGCGTGGCCAATTTCCACACATTAGAATTGGGACATTCTATGCATTTGCACACCTGGACGGGAACGGGCAAATGAAGGGCGCAAGGGTGGAAGTGCGAGTATTGGAATCGAGCCATAGGTTGATTCTTCTGCTGGCTTAAACAGGCAGCCGGCTGATTTGTCTGAATGCTGCTGCCATCTAGTGACTGGAGGCTGGTTTTGAATTCATGCATGAAAAAAGTGATAATAACAATGGGTTGTCTTGCCTCTTGGCCCTCTAACACCTCCATGTCCTCCCAGGGGGACATGCTCCACTAATCGAGAAGCACTGACCCACAGCTGGATCATTCTGCCCTAATTAAAGTGAACTATCTATTTTCTTCAGGTGGTGAATATCAATGAAAATCTGTATGCTCCCTACTTCACCGAATTTGCTGTGAGAGGCTCGGTGAAGGAGAACTCTCGCGCAGGAACAAGTGTCCTGACTGTCAGCGCCAAAGACGATGACAAGGGACGAGATGGTGTGCTGGGGTACTTCATCCATGGAGGCAGCGGACTGGGCACTTTCACCATCGACGAAGACACAGGTGTGACATTAGATCAATTTCAAACCTATTTATGTAAAGTGGAAATCCAATAATATGCATGTTTAGAATACTGAACTGAACGAATGGCTGACGCCAAATTGAACCATTTTGTAAGATGTTGATGACAGGATGGTTGTAACTCCTGTTTTACTGGTTAATCTATCACCAATGGCCTCTGTAACTGACTATGATGTCTTTGGGACACATGTGTTTGTGCACTCGGGTTGAGGGGAGTGTGAAGCACAGTCCCAGTCAGTGGTTTTGATGGGACCTCACATGGGAGCTGTGTACTGGGAGATCATTACTGTAATGATGGCAGTCAGACAGGCAGCTGCACTGGCTGGGCCTCAGGCTGTGTCGTATAACTCACCCAGCTCTGTGCAGATAACGTCGATCAAGGCTCTCCTGCAGAGCAGACCATATTTTCTATGATTGAGAAATAAGTGTGACTTATTTAAGAGGCGTGACCTAGAATAAGAATTGCGACTGAAATAGGTGTGAGCGAGATGGCTTTCTTTTCCCATAAAGAAGTGTTGCAGAACCTTGCAGCTGAAACATGTATGATGCTGAAGTTCATTGTGTCTCTCTCCGTGGTGCTGAAACTTTCAAACTCAGTTTCTCATTCTTCCCACATCATGATCTGCGGGGAGTATGACTTCATATGCATTTGATCATGTAGTGCCATCAGCCATCAAATGCACATTGTTAAGAGATGAGGTAAAAACTGGAACATTTTTGTTTATCTGTTTGTTATTGGGCTATTTGAATGTAAATATTCTATTGCTGTTCTGCAAACTAAAAGGATTAATTGAAATGTACTATAATTAATTAACTATATTATTGCAGTTAGACTTTTGTGGACTTTTTCAAATATTGTAGACATAATTTTATAATTATTGGTATTGAATGTAGATTTGTGTTCAGTAATTTATCTGTTCAGAATCAATAAAACCATGAATAGTATGCAATCTCTTTATATATGAAATACCTGTTTGCTGCTAGCAAAAGCTCGATTTAAAAAAGTAATGAAACCAAGATGTAAATGTAAAAGCAATCAGCAGAAGTAACTGTTCATTTTAGCTTCGCATTTATCAATATTTAGATTGTTTTCTACTTTGTAGTCATTTTTTCTCCCCTCATGTTGCACCACTGTATATAACCTACTCTGGAGGCCTGTATTGATATTTAACTAGGCTAATTAGTATTGACTGTAGTATTGGGTGAAGCACATGGACAAGGAGGGTGTCCCTGTCCCTTATCTCCTCCCCAGCTCTAATGTGGTTTTATAAATGTGGTGTAAAAAAGTAGTACTTTTTATTTCTTCTTCCAAATATCTTAGAGCTGATGGGGTATTAATTAAAAAACCTCACAATCTGTAAGTTTCTGGTAATGGAATGGAATCATTTGGGCCCTATAGGGTCTGAGGTAGGGCAGATGTCATTAGATCCCATCAGATCAGAGTCCATTTCAACACTTTTGGGTTTTGTTAAAGTATTTGTTGTAAACTGTAGTATTTTATTTATGCAAGAAAACAACTTAAATCAAGACCTAATAACAAAAGCAACAAACGCAATTAATCAAAAAGATCAACAATTGATATAGAATTACCAATAACACTACCTTAAACAAACTTAAACAACTAAACACAACAGGAAGAAGATGCGTAGGGGTCACAAATCATTTTTTCTAACTGTTTTTAGTCGAGTTTCTCTTTTCTTCTTTAAAAGCACAATAAAAAATACCTGTTGGGTGATTCAACAGTTACACATTAAAATGGAATAATTACAGAAAAGCAATCTAATATAAAAAAGTTAATTAATTTAGTTTTAAATTAATTAGTAATAAATTAAAATGTATCAATTAAAAAACAGCAGAAAACCACTACTGGATTGTCTGATTGGGACAAAGACTCAGATAATCAGAAAATCATCAAAAAATGAATAACGCATACCTAAACTCTTCCTAATATTGCAGCTTAAGTCAAAATGTTATGACTCTAAAGTGTTTTGGTAACACTTTACAATGATGGTTCCTTTATTAATGTTACTTAGTGCATTATTAAGCATTAATAAACAAAGGAGCCCTTTATTATCATTACTGTTATTGTTAACTATTAACTGTCCTTAAGGTATACTTAATACGTGATTTAATATTCTATTAATGCTTAATAATAAGTAACGTTAATAAAAGAACCTTTATTGTAAAGTGTTACCAGCGTTTTAAAATGGTAAATAAATGGTAAACAGCCTGTATTTGTAGAGCACCTTCTTAGGGTTCAAGAACCCCCCAAGGTGCTTCACAACACAATCAGTCTTTCACACATTCACAAGCCGGTGATGATGAGCTACGATGTAGCCACAGCTGCCCTGGGGAGCACTGACGGACTGCAAAACACGGGTGTCACCGGCCCCTCTGTCCACCAGCAAGCAAGGTGGCTTAAGTGTATCGCCCAAGGACACAACAGCAGCATTCTCTGGCAGGAGCCGGGATCAAACCTGCAACCTTCCAATTACTGGACAACCCGCTCTACATCCTGAGCTACTACTGCCCTTAAAAATCCAAATGTGGAAAAGCTGCTTGTTTTTCATCCCCTCCAAGTGGTCAAATCATTTTTATAAAAGCTAAACCTGCCAGTCTCTTATCGCTCCTGTAATGTGTTTGTAAACTTCCCTCCCAGCTGCTGCATGGACCAGGAGATAAACCTAACTGCAAACCCTTCAAAGGCGCTTCAGACCCTTTCTCCTACAGGTTTTTGGTGTTTTGATGGCCGCCCTGCTGGGAAAACGCCACTTCCATGAAGGAGTTCTGATCTGCGTGCACCGTACCACTCATGTTTACATCGCTGCACATCCTCCAAGGCGGAACGCCCAGCAGTGTTAATTTACTCGACAGCAATCGTAAACCTAAAGCTGATTGGCGTTGTTTAATTATATTTGCATATGCTTTCACACGTGTGAGAAAATCCCGCCGCTGTACGCAGCTGAAGCCTTCTGTACCGTTGTTGTTATTCGCTCTGGCATTAAAACCTCAGCGAGGAGCATCACAGCCAGCAAGAACGTTTATTGAGTGCAGATTTTCCAGGGGAAATCAAACTGCTTGTTAGAGCAGAAAGTGAAGGGAGAGGGGAGTGGAAGTGAAGTGAAGAGAGGAAGGAAGAGGATGAAGGGGGAGTCGGGAGTACATAAAAAGTGTCAGAAGAAAATATGGCTTTCTTCCTTCATGACTTTTATTTTTTCATATTTTGAGCATTTTTTTTCGTGTAGTTTTTCTTGTAGTTTTCCTTCTAATGTAACCAATGCAATTCTAGAGCTTTTGTTTGCACCAGATGAGAAAAAGCAGCAAGAAGAAGTTTTTCTCTTCCATATAAGAGTTGGTTTCCGCTGTTTGGAAGGTGGCGTTGTCAGCTGCTGTCAGCACTGGACTCTGTCCTTCTGCTGTGCATTTAGCTGCCATGTTGAGTGACTCTTTTCTGGCTGCTTGTCAATCTGTTTCTCTTAGTGCCAAACAAGGATGAGGAAGGCACTGAGAGATAGTGGAGGGGGAAAAAAAGAGAAAAGAATCAATTTTGTTGAGTCTTTTTTTAAACATATTTATTACCTAATCTCCTCTGGCATCATTTTTGTGTCTGTTGTCTAAAATAATATCAATCTAGTTTCTTTTAAATTGATATTTATGCTTCTGATGAATCAATCAATGCACTAATAAATGGAATGAGATCCTTCTCTCTCAAAAGAGATGTTGGATCTCTGCCTTACACCCGCAGCTCTCTGCACTTCAGAGCGAAATTTGTATTCTTGTCATCGGCTAAGGGAGGGAAGCACGCCCTGCAATTTCTCATTGAATGGCTGTCAGAAGTGGCTGCTCCTCTATTAGGGGGCTTGTGGGCTCTGGTGTTTGTCATAGTCAGGATAAAGTATTCTTTAAGTTACAGGGAACACCTTTAAGAAGCAGACATTTCACATTTATTAAAAATTAATGGCCGGTGTTTTTTTCTGCCTTCTTTTATGGCATACGCAGAGCTATTTCTCAAGAGAAAAACGATCACTATATAATGTCATCAGTCTCAGCATTGATTATTTGTTGGCATTAATTAGTTAGTTGGATCACAAAACCTGCTCCTTAGACAGGGAAGTTGAGCGGACTTGACGAATGGTTGTAAACTCAACTGTACGGGCAAACTTCTGGATCAGAAAATTTGGCATGACCCTTCAGTTTTGACTTTTATTTATTTATTTTATTTTAGGTGCACTCTGTGAAGTGTGTTATTTATGGTGAGAATGGATGCTGTCAAGTCCGATTTAGATGGAATCCAATGAATAGCGGCTGTCGGTTTTAAAGTTCAAAGAGCTTTTGAAACGGCCAGCTCTGTTTTCCTTGGCCGTCAGTCTGTCGGGCTCTCTGACAGAGATGAGATGTGGTTGGAAAAGGACACGGTCAAGGACGACAGGGCAAGGATGCGTTTCAGCAAATACTTTTACTATGCACCGAGCGTGCCTCGGGTGGCTGCTTAGTCCTAATCTAACACCAAGTCTGTGGCTGCAAATTCCTGTGACGATGTGGGGCTGAAACGGACGTTCAGCAACAGCAGAAAGGTACAAACAAGCAAGAAAGATATCATTTCAGCAGAAAAGCTCATTTTTGCAGGATAAGTTCTTAAAGAAGCAAAGTGTCTTTTTACCATTAATCTCTGGAAATATCCATTGAAATGTGGTTGAAAATGAATTAAATGACGCCCAGTTGTTATTGGCAGGTTTGTAACATATAACCATAAAAATCGTGTCTAAAATACATGGGAGTGGGTCTAACCCCAGTTTCACACTGCAAGCATCAGCGGAACGGAACGGCAGCGAAGCGGCACCGCTTCAAATAGAATCCAGTCATAGTCTATGGAGTGTTTCAAACCAGCCGCGACGCAGCAATTTCCAGGCGCATCCCAGAAGCGGCATGCCACGCTGCGCCGCTAAAGATAGGATCGAGTTCTATTTTTTCCGCGAGCTGCTTTTGGGACACGTCAATTTCTGCAGTTCACATCAATCAAATAAAATCAAAGATACTTTATTTATCCCAGAGGGAAATTAGAGTTTCGGTACACACAATTCAGACATCAGACATACATGGGCAAGACACATGACAAGAACTGGTGTCTGTGGTAATTCGCAACCCTGAGTCGCGCTACCTTAATAGAGATAAGAGGGGTTACATGAGGATTGGTTCAGGTGGAGGGGAAAAAAGGCACTTCAGAGTTACCCTCCCACCAGGAGGGCAGCTTTGCTCTGCAAAAAAAAAAAAAAAAAACACCTCAGACAGATATGCAACAGACTTCAGACAACACAACATAAATTTCCACTGGGTAGGGTGGTGGGTTGGGACTATCCCCACTTCAGTTCCTGCAGCCACGATAAGCAGCGCATGTCACCTCAGTGTGGATGGGGGAGGAGCATTGAGGGTTGGAGGGTTGTAGTGACCTTGGAATATTTCAGCGGCCTTCCCGCAGTCCCACCCAGGCTGGGAAAGGAGACAGAGTTGAGTTGCCATAGCGAAGGCACATTCCACATATCTTCTGAGGGGGGAGTTTTCGTTGGAGCCTTGCAGGCCCAAGGACGCCAGATTCCGATTAGAAATTGTTTTGGGGCCAGACAGAGATAATTTCCTCTCTGTCTTACAATTTGTTGGTCCTCAACCTCTCAAAATCCCAATAATGGACATTAATCTATCCCAATCCGTGCTGATTCGTCCACTCTCTCCTTGATGGCATCCATCTTTTGTGCCAAAGAATGAATCTCCGCCAAAGTCCCAAGGTTACGATTCATCTAGACAATTATTTGAGTCTGTGAATTCACAGCGTGGTGCAAACCACCTCTGAGCTCCGGGATCAGGCCAATATTCCTCGACAGCTCCTTAATTTTCTGCCAAGCCAGGTAGCCTCCAAGGCCAATGAGCAGGAAACCTGACACCAACACCACGAATATCCACACGTCTTCAGAGTCCTCCACAGACAGCTGAGATAAACAAATCAAGTTCCACTGTTTCCAGCAGTCCATGATGTGTCCAACTGGGTCTGTCCCGGAGGGGCATCCGGGAGCCCCTTCTCCCGTTCTCATCGTTGAAAAAATGTTATCAATCGCATTGAGAGAACAACTGAGGAGATTCATTTTGGTGAATTTCAGTTTCCAGTTTCCAGAAAAATGCAGAAGCAGCCGTGCGCCCAGCACACACAGACAGACAAAGGCCTTGAGGATAAGATATGGAGGAGAGGAGGAAAATAAAGCGTCTTCACCCTCCAAGAGCCGGAAGAAGAAAAATGCGACACACACATAGTGCGAGACAGGAAACCACACGGTTTCAGTGTAAAATCCCCGGTTATTTTCAAAATAAAATGCAACATTGCGATGTTATATATAACTTACGTCAGTACTTGTGACCGAACGGCTTTGTTAACCACCAGTTTTTTTCGAGACGTACAGTTGTGTGATTCCTCGCGGGGGTTGTGATCTCTCGATGAGGAAGGTGTCAGAAGTCTTGAGGGATTTAGAATCTCGCGAGTACAGCGAGGAAGCCCTTTCGCGGCCAAGACTCTCCCGGTGGGAAAAGGACCGCTTAGAAGTTCGCGAGTGAGCCGCTCCACTGCTGTTCCGTTCCACTGATGCTTGCAGTGTGAAACTGGGGTAGGGTGTTTCTCAGTGTCAAGGAATCTTGCCATGCCTTTTAAGGTGCCTTGGTTACAAGGACACTGTCCTTCCTTGGCTAAAGAAAATGGTTCAGTGGGACAGACTTAGCTTGCGTGACCGCAGTGGTCACATCATGTGATGCATGAGGTAAGGTTATATTTCATATATATAAGTTTCAATATAAATGTATAACGATCCTTTAACTTTTTTAGTTGTGTACATTTTGGTTTAATTAAATACGTAAGCGAGTTAGTTCCTGCTAGCAACCAAAGCTGCAACTACTAAGCAACTAATCTGATAACTGCTTTGGATCTAAAAAACATTTTAGATAATTAGTTGACTTACATTTAAACTGTAAATTTGCCCCCAGTGTAGCTGCTGGCTCCTGATCCCCATCCTTTTGTAAATACTGCACCGTTCTGTATTCTGGGAAATTTTTGACCAAGCGAAGGCAACAAGGCACCTCACATATGTGCTCAGTTAGCTAAACGGCGAACAAACGGAGGACAGTAGCCTCAGTAGCACATGAACATTGGAACACGCTTAAATTGTATTAGTACTATGGCCAACAGAAAACAAGTTTATGAAGGTAATTCCACTAAATCCCTCTCACGTAAATTGATTTCAGCACCTTTTTATCTGTGGATACTTTAAGTACTGTCCAGAATGAGCCGTTTCAGGGCTCTATCACTTTAAGAAAAGAAGCTGGAGCTGGCCACGCCCACCCATCCTCACTCAGGCTGCTGTAAGCTGAGAAGCTCATTCAGTGCTGATAATGGCTGCTTCTTCAGCAGCAGCTGCTATTCTGCAGGTGGGAGGTTTGCTAATTTCCCTGTTTGGCGCATCACTTTTTGAAACGTCCTGTTTTAGGCACAAAATTCCTAAACCCGATCACTGAAAGAAAAATGAATGGATGTTTTTTTAAGTTTGGAGTGTTTCTAGAGGCAGTATTGGCCCACATGGCAGCACAAAATTATTCAAATGTTGAGTGTTGCACATTGTCAGAGATTAGTTGAAGTCGTGAAGATCTTTAATGTACTTTTAAAAAAATACTGAAAGATAACATAATTAAGCACAATAGAGTAACACGGATGGATGAACATGAATAATTAAGACTAAGTTGTGATATTTTGTTGTTTGTTTGTCTTTTCTCTAACTTTGCAATACGATTGATCTGGAGGGTGATAGGTAAAGAATACGCCTCAGCTTCAGCCTGTTCCTTGGTTCCAGGACTGTAAGCTTCTGCTTCTGCGTACTGAGACACACAACACCATTATCCGTCCTTGTGAGGGCTCTCCAACGCTTACTTTCTAACAGCACACCTTCAACTCCAACAGAGAAAATAAATCATTGAATTTATTTGAAGAAAATGCACCTGTGTCTTCTTTTTTGTCTACTTCAGTTCTGCAGCAGTAAGTAGCTGGAGATCAATCCTCCCAACAGCTTTGCATAATGAGCTTTTTTAATTATGGTTTGATTTAGATAAAAAATATTTTGGTTTCATTTAGCCCCAACTTTTACTTTGTATTTAGTTTTGTACACAAATCTATGCAGATTTAAGACAAAATTCATTAAGTAAACTCAGACTTAAAGAAGGGCGTGTGTTTACAAGGTGATTCTCCACTTCTGCATCTATTTAACATTAATTGTGCGTGTGATTAACACTAGATCAGGCTCTCTCAGCTTTTTGACAAACACATTTGTCTTTGCTCTCATTTTATTTAGTTAAAACAAATAATCAAAATATTTCAAACCGGCTGCTGCAGGTGTGTTGAGCATTTGGGAGTCGATGGGCTGCCTAGCTCTTTCTTGTGATCAGGCTGATAAAATAAACAACACGATGGATATTATTAAGTTTTTCAAGCATGTTTCAGTAGAAAACGTGGCTCAGCTGGAGTTCAGCGGTCATGGCAAAGTGCACGCTTGACTTCTTTAAACTCTAAAACTGGACTGTGAACTCATGGGTGTTTGTGTGTCATTTTCTGAGTTTGGACAGCCCTGCATGACTGATTTATTAAAACAGAGGCGCCCATTTGTCATCTGCTGTGAGTGTTCTGTTTGTCCCTAAAGAGGTCACCAAAGCTGTCAGCTACTCATCTTCCTTAAGGCCACTAAGCACGCTTCAGTCATTGTGTATGAGTGTCTGGGTGTCATTGTGGTTTTTTTGTGAGTGCAGGGTAGTTCAGCGTATGCTTAGCACCGAGCAAACAGCAGCAGGAGCACTTTGGTCAGCTGTGATTAGTTGTAGAGCTGCTGAAACATTGAAGGTGACTACTGCAGCGCCGCTAATGCCTGTGAATGTCACTGAAGCCGGGGCTCAAAGTTTAGACTAAATTTATGTCTTTGCCTCTGGAAGCTTAGTATTCAAAGAGTTTCCCCTGAGACCTTTTAAGGATGTATTCTCCTGATAACATCCAATCTACACCTCCACACAGACACATGTGCACTCACAAACACACACTTAGCCACATTCCCCAACCAAGTCACAACTGCATTAATGTTTCTTTGTGCTTCAACAGGAGTGATTTATACTGCTGGCAACCTGGACTGTGAGACCAGAAACTCTTACTGGCTCACCGTGTTCGCCACAGACAGAGGAGCTGCTCCCAAGTCAGCTTCTATTCAAGTCTTTATTCAGGTAAATCAATCTTCTCTGTAGTTGATGCACAAGAGGGATTTTCCTAATACAAGTAGTATAAATAGAGATAGATGTAGAGATAGAGGCATGGAAAAGTAGAGAAAGGGGGATGTAGAGGAGTAGCCCGGTAGATGTAGAGACAGACAGGTAGATGTAGAGGTATAGAGGTAGAGATAGACAGGGAAATGTAGAGGTATAGAGAGGTAGATGTAGAGGTATAGAGGTAGAGATAGACAGGGAAATGTAGAGGCATAGAGAGGTAGATGTAGAGGTATAGAGAGGTAGATGTAGCGGTATAGAGGTAGAGATAGACAGGGAAATGTAGAGGTATAGAGAGGTAGATGTAGAGGTATAGAGAGGTAGATGTAGAGGTATAGAGGTAGAGATAGACAGGGAAATGTAGAGGTATAGAGAGGTAGATGTAGAGGTATAGAGTTAGAGATAGACAGGGAAATGTAGAGGCATAGAGAGGTAGATGTAGAGGTATAGAGAGGTAGATGTAGAGGTATAGAGGTAGAGATAGACAGGGAAATGTAGAAGTATAGAGAGGTAGATGTAGAGGTATAGAGAGGTAGATGTAGAGGTATAGAGGTAGAGATAGACAGGGAAATGTAGAGGTAAAGAGATGTAGATGTAGAGGTATAGAGGTAGAGATACAGGGAAATGTAGAGGTATAGAGAGGTAGATGTAGAGGTATAGAGGTAGAAATAGACAGGGAAATGTAGAGGTATAGAGAGGTAGATGTAGAGATAGAGGCATAGAAAAGTAGAGAAAGTGGGATGTAGAGGAATAGACAGGTAGATGTAGAGGTAGAGAGGTAGAGATAGACAGGTTGATGTAGAGATGGACGGGGAGATGTAGAGGCATACAGAGGTAGATGTAGAAATAGAAAGAGGGAAAGGGAGAGGCATAGGGAGGTAGATGAGCTAGATGTAGAAATAGAGACATAGAAAGCTAGACAGGTAGAGGTATAGAGAGGTATGTAGAGGTAGAGCTTGGTAGATGTAGAATGAGAGGCAGAGAGGTGTGGAGAGAGGTAGCAAGAGAGGCAGAGGTAGAAAGAGATCATTTTGGGATTAAAAATAATTTGTCACACTTAAGAGGGTGGATCAGAAATTATAATTGCATTATTTAAAGACAAATAACTTTACCTTTGTTTATATTTTGTTATGATGTTAGAATCAAACAAGCTTCGTCTTCGTCTTCGTCTTCCTCCGCTTATCCGGGTCCGGGTCGCGGGGGCAGCATCCCAATTAGGGAGCTCCAGGCCGTCCTCTCCCAGCCACCTCCACAAGTTCCTCCGGCAGGACCCCAAGGCGTTCCCGGACCAGATTGGAGATGTAACCTCTCCAACATGTCCTGGGTCGACCCGGAGGCCTCCTGCCGGCAGGACATGCCCGAAACACCTCCCAGGGAGGCGTCCAGGAGGCATCCTGACCAGATGCCCAAACCACCTCAACTGACTCCTTTCGATCCGGAGGAGAAGCGGTTCTACTCCGAGTCCCTCCCGAATGTCCGAGCTCCTCACCCTATCTCTAAGGCTGAGCCCGGCCACCCTACGGAGGAAACTCATTTCGGCCGCTTGTATCCGCAATCTCGTTCTTTCGGTCATTACCCAAAGCTCATGACCATAGGTGAGGATTGGGACGTAGATCGACCGGTAAATCGAGAGCCTGGCTTTCTGGCTCAGCTCCCTCTTCCCCACGACAGATCGGCTCAGTGTCCGCATCACTGCAGACGCCGAACCAATCCGCCTGTCGATCTCCCGATCCCTCCTACCCTCACTCGTGAACAAGACCCCGAGATACTTAAACTCCTCCACTTGAGGTAGGACCTCTCCCCCGACCCGGAGGTGGCAAGCCACCCTTTTCCGGTCGAGAACCATGGTCTCAGATTTGGAGGTGCTGATCCTCATCCCATCCGCATCAAACAAGCTAATTAGCCAAATCTGAATAAAGCTGTATAAATACCATTTTACCAGCGGAGCACTTTAACCCGTCTTCCCCTGATACTAACAGATACAGATTATCTCTAAAGCCGCTTGTTTTAGTTTTCATGCAATGAGGAGTTGAAGAAGTGGAAAAACAAGCTTTCCTGGGAATTTGT